TTCTAACAGAGGGTTTGGCCAGGGGGGTGGCATTTGGTGTTGGTTTGTTTTGTTTTAAAAGTTTTTATTGTTTGCTTGTAAGACATTAGCCTGCAATTGCCAGGTTGTTCCAATAGACTCCCAGTTGGGTGCTGCTGGTGAAAAAACTTTTTTTGGATCTATCAAAAAGAAGTCTGCCAGTTAATGCTGACAACAGTTATCAGTGATAGAAATTGCAGACACTTCTGTGCTTTGAACAAAGAGCACATTTAAAAGCTTTTTCCTTTTTGCTATCTTGGGGGAAGATTCCTCATTCCACTTCTCTCTGCCTCCCCCTACATACAAAGAATGGGCAATTATTTATGTATAGCACATATTCTGTAGAACTGTAACTTGATATTTCTGTGGAAGACACTGTGTGGGACAAAAACTAGAATCACTATTTAAAGAATACAAGCTTTTTGTATTGACAAGACTGAAGAGCTTGTAGTGCCAGGCTGATACTACTGACACAAAGTGTAGTTCTGACACCTACTAGGTTCTTAGTCAAGGAAAAAGTTCACAAAGGTGGGATGACAGCAGTTAAACAAACTCCTTTTGATCCCTTATAGTTTATTGCCTCTTATTTTGATCCTAGTCTGACAGACATTTGGAGAGATAAGATCTTTGCTACGTCCTCTCTGACCAACTTGACTAATCCTTCTTCTCTCCATTTTATGAGCAAAACCCTCAAGTGTTTAGAGCCACCTTAGCAGAGGACACTGCTGGGCAATACTGTGCTTTGCCCCTTGCCCATGGAAGGAGCCCAAAGGGAGAAGGCAGCCAGCGGGCTTACATGACAGTTACTAAACTGGTTGATACGGATTAGAGGGGTCAGTCAGAAGAGCCTCCCTTATGTAGTATTTATACTCAGAAGAGAGAGAAGACAACAAAAAGAAAGTGATGAAGAGTGAAAATTAAAGGTTTCTTGACTTGAAACTTCACCATTATCTATTTTAAGAAGGCATTAAGCTGCAACTATAGAATTTTTCAAGTGGAGGTCAATTCATCTTTTTCTTAAGTAGTCTACTGTTCCCAAACCATGACAACTAAACTACTTGACACATCAAACATGACTAAGATTGGGAGAAAACATTGACTGAGAGCTTACAATGGCTTCATATTATTGTACAGAGACCAAGCTACCAAGTGATGCCTTTGATCCAATCTTCACATGCAGTGTTCAGAGCACAAAATGGACAGCCTCAGTGTCAGAAGATAAACCAAGGAATAAAACAGGAATAGAGATGAAACATGAACGGGACAAAAGGTCTCTTAGAATAGCAAGCCTGTTCAAATTTATTAGAGGCCTGAAAAATAGAAGGTTTTAGCTGATTTTCTACAACTACAAAAGATGCACTACACCCGTATTATATGCTGACAAGACAGTTTCATTCCAGCACAAGTCCAAGGACACAATATTGGTAGAACACATTTCCCCAACGGCTGACTGCACAAAGAATATTGTTTTGCTTTGTCAACCTACAATAATTAGCTCCTCTTCCCTTCAGGAATGCTTCTGCTTCTTCCCATGCTGCTGCCTTTTTTTTTTTTTTTTTTTAAAAAAAAAGAAAGCTATGATGCTTTCTTTTGCATTGTATCTTGCTTTAATTTAGGAGTCCATCTCATTTTTGAAGTCTGATTTGGTATACTTTGGGAACACCTTTTCAGTTTTACACCAAAGTTGCTCAAATTTATGTCCAAATTTATTACAACACTCTGCAAACACTTTCAGTCAAAAACATAAAATAAAGAGATTACCTCTGAAGTCTCTTTCACTAAACAAAAATGAAATGCTGTTATTCTATGATTGAAAGAACTGATTATTTTCGCCATTCATTTCAATAGTGTGCTATGAAGGAGCATACTGTGGTCACATATTAGGGCTATAACATCATAAATGAATAAAACATCTTGGCCTTATTGCTGATACCAGCAACAGCCACTCTCCATAAAAAGACAGAGCATCTATTGAAATGGAAGAACTAAAAGTAACAGCCTCAGCCAAGGTCGCTTCTAAGCCTCTAATACTAGAGTGAGGGGAAAAAGTGAAGGGTGATTTGCAGATACCACTATAAAAGCACTTAACATGATCATAGCTACATAAAATACATCTGGTACATAACTGGGAACAAAGACTATTTGCTTCATTAAAGATTTTTCTGATTAAGGCCCATTCGTAGCAAAGAATCATGCACCTTAAGAGAAATAAAAGTTTCTAATTTTGTAAAAAAAAAAAATGTTTCTAGCACTGAAATATGTCAGGAGATTGTGTTCTTCACAACTGAAATACATCAACTCCTTTTTTTATATCCACTTTCTCTACTTGGCATCAATTCAAAGCAAAGGCAGGCATAGGATATCACTTCCTCTATTTTTCCCTAGAGATCTAATAATACAAGCTAGAAGGAGTCATGTTCAAAACAAGATGTGGCAGAGCTGTGGAACTGCTGGGTTTCCAAAACAGGCTAAAAATGTATAGGGATTCAAGGGAGAAACAGGGAATATACTTGGAAGAAAAAGCCATCATGGGCTACGTCTAGTAGAGGAAATCGCCTAGATTAAGAATTGTTGGAAGCTACATATGATGAGCGCTCCCGAGAAGTACACGGGCTTGTCCTTTTCTTACCTCTCTCTTCCCCACGTCTGGTTTTCAGAGTGTGATAAACAGTCTCATGGTCTGATGCAGTGTGGCTACTGTTACAGGGTTTTTTTGTGGCTCCTCTGGCCTTCCCAGACCTCAGTTTTCCAATTCTCTTCCTATTCTTACTGATGTTACTCAGGGGGTATTTCTCCTGAGATACTTCAGGTGAATATATATGAGAGATATTTGCATATGAAAGCAATCTCATTCTCTCAACTTCGGGCTGTAATAATTTCACTGTGAGGGAAACAAAGATCTAACCTTGTCAGATTTTTAATTTAGTCACTTAATCACTCTATGGTTTCAGTAAGTTATTAAAAAGCAGCACATGGAACAACAAATACTGTTTATGAAACTTCCAAGTACATTATTTGCAAGATATATAAGCTTACAAAATATTTAAGCCTGCATTGCTTATTATATTCAGTTTTTTTTAAAAAGGGGCATAAACATTGCAAAATAAGTAGAAATCAGCATTCAGAATGTCTGAGACATACTTTTTTGACACTTGTTATTCTACACATCTGACTGAAGAACTGTAAAAGAAAATATACATGAAAATATACTAATTTGTATGTCTCAGTTCTTTCTGTACAAACGATTTGCTAAATGAACACAATCTATTATGACAATACTGAATTGCCAAGAAAAGTACTACTGCTTTGTCCAAAGTTTATCCATAGTAAAACCTCCCCTTGCTAAAAAGCAGTTGGGGAACCTTGTCCATTTAGAAATAGCAACATTTCTGTTACAAACAACTAACAGATAATGTAATACTTAAGGTCAGTCTTAATATTTAATTTTTCTCCAGATTTTTTCCAAGCCTTTATCAACAGTGTTCATTATAAAACAAGTACGGAACTCTGAGTAACAAAGCAGTGGCGAGCATAAAATTCAGTCGCACAGCTCTCAAAAAAAAAAAAAGTCCTATGAGAATTTAAAGCCAGTTGAAGCAGTTGAAGCAGTTTTTGTGCGACGGAAACAGGACTTTAACATACCTCAAAACTTAAAGCCCAGCACATACTCTAGTCCCACAACAGCAAACACGAGGAAGGAAAGGCATGGGTTTTCCGCAGCATTTTTCAAATTGGTTTTGTCCACGCAGGTGTCCAGTAACAAAGGTGCTGCGAAGGCAGAGTGCTACACTAGTGTATTTCCTCAAGAAATGTTAAAGCCACAGCTACATTACACTTCTCACACAGTACTCATTTAAGTTATGAGAAAAACAAGATGACACAGAGTGGGGCAGGTGGCAAGGAATAGGAATTAAGTTCATTGCAGAGGTGTTTCTTCCGTGGCTTGTGATCCTTTACACCCTGACCTCAACCCAGTAAGTGTCTCAGACCAAGCCCTCCTGCTCCTGTAACAGTGAAATCCTGTATTTTGGACCCATACAAACCGGATGGTCACTGAAGTGAAAATACTGCTATATTAGGATGCAGATTGTATCTCCTTTTTCTGTTAAGTGACTCATTCACTTAACATCAAATTAATTTGGGGAAATTTGCATCAATAGGAACAACTCAGTGGTAAAGTCACATTCAGGTGGACTCCATGCTATCACAATGCTCATTTCCAAAATATTAATAATTCATCTATCCTAAGGCCTTTGCATTCATTTTTAGTTGAGCATTTATTGACTGAAACTCCCCATCACCTGCAAATTTAGGCTTCTTTAACTCACAAGATGAAGAACTTTTAACAGGTTATATTCAAGCCTATCTTCAGGCAGAAAGAAGTAGCAGCATATTGCTACTAATCCTCAAAAGTATGCCTGAATGCCACACTAACAAAGACTTTTTCAAAAGCAGTCACCCTGCTTTCATGGTTAGAAACCTAGACAGACCAACCCAGCCAAGAGGCTAGAACAAGTCCAGTCAGAAGGAGTGCCAGCATAAGTTGAAAGGAAAGGGTGAAAACCAAAAAGGGATAGCAACTATTGTTTCCTGACCACGTGAAGTAATCTGTCAGTAACTACTGCCTATGAAAATAAGTTGTTCTTCAACTAACTTACAGATATTCAACATATTTAAGTACTATGCAAGGCAACTGTCCTAATGTTTAAATGATGCAAGCACAACAGTTACACACCACAGCTGAGCCCTTTAGACTCAAAAGGGCACACACGCACTCTCTGCCCATCTATCTCAGTGTTTTATTAGCTGAAATTAATGTTACCCTGCTATTCCTCCACTGTAAAATGCAAATCATTAACAACAAACACAACTGTGACAAAGATGGGACCTATTTAGATCAGTGAAACAGATCAGTATCATAGAAATCAGTATTATATACAATATACCAGCCGCTAAGAGACAACATATACAAAGCCATTGTCATCCTTGATAATGATTAAATTACTTTTATTCCCATTTAAAATATACAACTTTGAAAAATTATGCATCATACATTCAAATATGAATTGCATTCTTAAGTGTCCTGATATCCAGGTATCCTATTGCTGGCCAGTATAATACAATAATCTGTCAACACTGTTTATTTATGGCCATGGGAGAAAAATCTCCATAAATAAATATTTATATCTGATATTGCAGCTTTTCCTTAAACACTTACATTTAGAAGTCAATTTCAGTAGGCCTCTTTCTCTTAAACACTGCTTCATGTTCCTATAGGAGAAAAATTCCACAAAGATCCGAAAAAAGGCAAAAAATGTCTAAGTCAGCTATTTTAGAAATAGCATTCAAGATACAAGAGTCCATTTAGCAGTGTCAGAAATAACCATTAAAGCTACTATTACCACCCAAAAGCAGTTCAAGTAAAGCTCACTAACAATGCCATGAATCGTAATGGTCTTCAAGTAGTTAATTTAAAAGCCTTAGAAAAATCGATACAAACAGTATCATTAGTACAGCTATACTGTTGCAGATACTATTAGTGGTACCACAAGGAGGCATAACCTACAGCCCCCTTGAAAAAGCACCATTACTGAGAAATCCTTATGGCAGGGATTCAGTAAGTCTTAAAAGGACGTGTTGACTTCATTTAAAGCCTGACAATAAGTGCCCCCTGCAGGGTACAAGACTGCTCCGCTTTGAGGCCACTTACTACTGCGTAACTTTGTGTTATTTATAGAACACTGAAGATATGACAGGCATTTTTTAGGACCCTAACATCCCTCCTCTTCAGAGCTTGAAGTCTTCCCTAACATACAAAACAGTGGGGAAAGAATGAGACTCAAATAGCAATGAGTAATTTATAGCATGTATTAAATCAGGATGGGTAGGAGATAACAACGGGGTGGGGGAAGTCAGCTGCTGAATTTTACACTGCATGAAGTGTATAAAAAAAATGTAATTTCAGTTAGCCCTAATTTAACTGAAGCTGACATCATCACCTCTGTATCAGGACTGGAGAGAAAAATATTTATGACTGTATTAGAAAATGAAGTTAATAACAGTTTGGTATGATATCGTAACTCAACAGAGAAAAATCAACACAGGTATTTTAAAGTTGATAGTTTTTATTTACAGTTTTGTTGGCAAAAGGTGGTGGGAAAGTTTAAAACATTTTAAACAGAGGGCACCATATTGTATTGTATGATGTATCAGTTCACAATCTTCAGTATCCAGCTGATCAAATAAAGCTAATCACCACTTAAAGAAGCATAACCTGCATCAGCTCCATTAGAGTATACTGCCTAAAAACACTTCAGGCAGTTTCTAAACACAATCTCTAATAAAAATGCAGTTCTAGTGAAGAATGTATACTTTGATTTATCTACTGCACCTGGTATCAAATTGCCCACTTATACTTGCATACTGGCAAAGCAGTTACACTTCCTACTTTTAGTTGAAAGTTATAATCTCATTTTCTGCAAATTCAGCTGTCAGGTAATTCTCAACTACTCTGAATATTTTACTGTGAGCATAGTCAAGATTGGAGTAGATGAGATTGAAGGAAAATATTCCTGGTATATGATGTGCCCATCAGAATCAGCTGGGTAACCATAAACATCCTGTTTAAGAATTCTATTCAAAAAGGAGAAAAAAAAACATAGTCAGTTTTCACTTTGTCACATAGATTTAACTCCTCACTTGATCTTTTTAATTCATTCTTCTAAATCAAGAGTGTTTAGTTCTTCTTCTAGTTCATCCAAGTCCTCTCCAGTAAAAAGATTTTCATCAACTGGAACTGCATCAATTACTCCATTTTCCAACTCCCCATCACCATCATTATCTTCCTCTAAATCATTTTGCTCACTGCTGTTAATATCACCACCAGAAGCTTCATTTAATTTATTATCTGAAAATAAAAATAATTCTTACACATTTCAGTGTCACAAGTTTCTTAATCACTAATTCACAATCCTACTAAACAGGCTTTAAATTTTTGAAACTATAAAGAAGTTACTTCATTTGAAATTTATGTAGACATATATTGGTTAAATTACATGTACCTGATTAATATGCAGGTTTGGATCATTAGTTATTAAAACAGATTGAAAAAAAATAACTCAAAATTCCCAACTCCTCAAACTCCTATTTTCATAACTGGGTCAAACTTAATGAGCTACTGCTACTCAATGTCTACACTTAAAAGACTCAGGGTCTTAAAGATCAGGGTATGCATTCCACAAGCGCACCAAGATCAAGACTTCACTCTAAGAAATTACAAGCTAACTTAAGTTAGCTAGAACATATGAAGAAAAGCTTGCAGTTTTGTTGATATTATTCACTCAATCATTTACTAAATCTGAAGGGAAAAAAAAAAGAATCTACTAAAACATCTTAATGATTTACTTGAAGTGGCCATAAACACTATCTTTTATTTAAACTTTAAGAAAACAAGAAGTGCATAGCATTTACTACAAGCTTTTTCTTTAGTAACTACATGTATCATTGATGGTAATTTCACTCCCCTGTCCTTTTTAAACAAATACTTTCAGCAGATCAATAATTCATTTCTGTCTACCTTTCTGGAAGCTCTTAACAATTCAATCCCATATTAGTGATGCCTAAATAGTGAGCTTACCATCTTTTTCTATTGAACTGTATGTGCTGAATCGCTCAGGACTAGCCACAGTAATACCAGTCTCATCTACAGCCTTTGGGACATAGAGGTTCAAATCGACATCATTTATGCACACGGGGTCTTCCATCTGAAAAATAAACCAAGATGGTCTGCATGAATTACTTATCTACAGAAATTCTCATTTCTGCAGGATTTCTACAAGTTTTTTGTTTTGTCTTCCTTTTCATATCAAAATTTTGACAAAACACGGTCTGTAGCAGTGTTAAAGAACCAAGCTTATTAATTGCACTGTAAGAGCTCTCAAATTAAAGGTTTTCAAATTCGAATGTAACTTGAAATATTATTTGAGTTACTGTTCTTTACCTCATCATCATCTCCCGTTCCTTGAATATAATGAGTGTCATCTGCTTCTTCATCATCTGCATCAACCAACTCTGGTCGGAACTCGAATACTTCACGTCCACTAATCTAGTCACAGAAAAAGAAATCTTAATTTATCACTTCATAGTATTTATACTGCTGAAAAAAAAAAAAGAAAGAATAACAGAAAGAAAAAAAAAAAAGAAAAAGCAAAGCAATTCCAGGCCAGTTACCTCATTACAAAAAGTTATTTACTCTTTCTTCTTATATTAAGAATTGGACTGTAAAACATACCACCAACGCTTTGCCAGCTTTAAAATCTGCTTTCCTCCTCTCCATATCTTGCTCAGCCTTATCAATTTTTTCTTGTCTTTTTCTTCTCTTCCATGCAATAAAACACTCTAGAGTAATTTTGGTAACATTTGGTCCTAAGGCAGCACGCTGTCAAGTAAAGAGACTGATTAACGCTAGAAATTGTTTCCAAAGGCTATAAGAAATTAGAGATTTAATTACTTTTTTCCAGAAACTAATTGAAAACATTTATTTCCAATTTCTTCTTCACTCTCGCCACTGTTGCACATGTGCCATCAACTTAAAGTTTGACTCAACACACAGTATTCCAGTTAGTTAGGTGAATTGACATGAAAGTTAACATGAGAAGTGGAGGAGGAAAGAAACCAATGATAAAAGCTCAGGTTCTCCTCAAATTGACACTGCCAGGCAATGGTGACAGAAATAAGCACAGCAGCAACGTAACGCCTTCAGAAGGCCCCGTTCTTTTGGTGTTGTTTCCTCATTACAGGTTCTGCGAAAAATAAGCAGGCAGTGAGCTGGGGATAAGAAAGGCCCACAGAAGCAGTTGTAATAGATAAAGCGAAAATAGCAGGAAAATAGAAGCCTCCTAAAAAAGGAGTAGCAGCACCTGCACTAAGTAGGCAGCTACAGTTTAATCTATTCACCAAGTAACAGTTTCTAAACAAAAACATGAGTCAAATACTACACATCCTTCACTCTAGCTCATACAGCCCCAAAAACATTTTATACTTTTTCATTATGAATTAGAAAGTTATTTACAACTGTCCCTTCAGAATAATGAAAACAAATACCACCAAAAGGTACCTGTCTGACAACTTTACCTCTTTTTCTATTAGATCTTCTAAAGAAATTTCATCTTGCTTTTCCTCCTTCTTTTTGTCTTTTTTTAATACAAAACCTGGAGGGAGAGCATGGCGATACATGCAGTTGTCTCCTCCACCTGGACAGACCCAAAACCATCCATATTTGTTGTTTTCAATAGCATCAAGGAAGTATTTGCAGACCTGTATAAAACAAAAAAATGGTTGTTAGCACTGCATTCTCTTCATCCCCAGCAATTTACACTACATGTGTATCTACTACATGTCAGAAGTACAGTAATTCAAAGCCAGTTGTAGTCAAAACTGAACAAACATGTGAAATGCATTGCCACTAAAAATGTAGACAAAAGAAGTGCAACTAATTATCTAAAACTCATGTAGTCAACAGCATTTTCCCGTTAACATAATCCTAATTTAAAAAAGACAGGATGACTCAGAAGACTGGCAACTGTGTACAACTGTAAAGCCAGCAGCACATGTAAAAGCATGCTGACAGTCTTTCTCTTCCTGCTCACCACCATCAGTGTAGTCTTAATCAAAATAAATTGAAACTGCCTCAGATGTTAAAGCTTCCAGCTCATGATCCTTAGGTAAAGATGCCATTCTGGAACTTGTTCACACTTAGCCATATCAAAGTTGAACTTTTGCAAATTTAGGCAGTATCAACATAATATTTAATTATTTGGTAATGAAAACAAGGTGAAATAGTTCTGAAGAACGAAAAAGGGATTAAGGTATTATACCATTTAATGCACAAACTAAAGAATATTCTTGAAGTCAGAGGTCAGGAACTACTAATGACTCTCAATTAGTAAATTTCAGCTTACAGGAGAAAATTTAAACTTATATGCTTATATGTCACCCAGTACATAAATAAGCCAGGATATACAGCAGTCACTAGAATGAGATGATAGACCTAACTAATCACAATACCTGAATCTCCTAAGCAAGTAGGATGCATTACATATACTATTGATCCCTTCAGCATTTCTATTCTGAAAGTACTTAATCTACTATCCATTTGTATTTCACATGAGAAAATACCTTATGATGACTGAAAGAGCTTCAGGGTGGGGTTTTTTTGTTGTTGTTTTTTTTTTTAAATACATTATTAGAAATACTATCAGCCCAACTGTATACTCAGAACGTTGTTATAATATTCCATTCAAAATCTTTAGGTAACAATAAACATATCTAATACCAGTCCCCAGTTAATTCTCTCTACTACAGCTCAATAAAAGAAAAAAAGAACATACTATTTGAGTTTTGGGTTTTTTCTTTTCCGCCTCACCATGCTTCTTGTTCACCACTTCTTCCAGCTTCTTCTCATCCCAGTTATCCATTGTATCTAGAAAAAGACAACAGATGGTTTCACAAAAATTCCAAATACTAAACAATGCTGTCAAGTTGCTTTTCTCCCTAGTAACCGTTTTCATATGCGATTCTTACATTTTAGTTAGTTTATAGAATGGAAAATAAATTCAGGCTTTTATAATAAAGTTTTTAAACTCTCCTATGCTGCTCACAAGACAGTTTCCTCAAAAGCCTTAGAAATTTGTATTTTGAGATGCATAAAGTGTGTTTCAGTTAAAGACTAAAAAATGTGTCATTCCATCTGTACACTACTGAGCACAGACAAGGGAAAAGAAGAAAAGGAAGACGGCTTGAGTAAAAGAGAAGGTTGGAGGCTAATGTCCAGAAATACAGATAATGTAACTGGAGGATTGAAAGAGAGAATACCAAATTTTCAGTGTTAAAGTTAAAAGAAGGTTCCATCAAAAGAAGCAAGATCACCAACGGTAACAGTAGTAGTGAATCTATGGGATCCTATCGTATTCATTTAGGAAGACAGAGGCTAAAATTCCAAGAAAGACTGAGATGTGATGAATTGTGGAAAAACAAAAGAAATTATTTCGACTATAAAATCTCTAACCCCTGCTAAGTAAAAGTGAAATCCAGAGTACTCAGCCAACAAATGATTTGGGGAAAGGAGATTAAGTCACATAAGAAATTCCAAAGTATCATGAATTCTAGAACTGTGCACATTTCGGTGAACACTAGTAATAATTCTGGAAAGCAAGTATGGTTGCTCATTACACCTCCTCCTTTTGCACTTCCATTTTGTAGAACTTGGAAGAAACTAACAACTCTAAGACAGACAAAATACTGTATAACTTGCTATTTGTATGACATAATACATTACACAGCAGAATTAAAAAAAGCACCATCCAAGATCACTATGTCATACTTTTTCTAAACAAGGTCTAAAGAATACTTGTGAGCACACATTTTAAAGTGAGTTTCACTGTTGTTCATAATTTTGAACAGTGGTATGTGTTGTCTTGGTCATTGACCAGGCTCTTCAAGATCTTAACCACAACATAAGAAGACTCAATCTTAAAAATCCAGTTTCAGAATCAGAATAGTTTAGTAGTCATTTTCTACAAGAATTATACCTTTTTCAAGGTCTTCATCTCTTGCATCAATGTAGACACTTCGTTTTTCACACTTCCTTTCCAAAGACAAATCATGAGAAAACTTGCACTTGTCTCCTTTAGTGCATTGTCCTTGCTTGAAGAAAGCACAAACTACAGATTTGGGGTCAGCACCTGAGTGAAAAAAGTTTTTATATTTTTATACTATTTTCAAGCTAAAGCTGTATATTAAAAGCTCTGAAAACAACGTCTAGGATCATACAATCTTTAGGACCTGTACAGAATGAAAACACATTTTTAAAAGTTAAAGTTATTTGATGTGAAGTTCATCACAAGTAAATACTCCATGTCCTGAACGTGTCGTAAATACCATGCTATACAAAGTAAATACATTAAGTATCAAAGCTGGCACTTGACTATTTAAAGAAATATGGATAGACGTGTGCCTGAGTGAATTATTCATTCATATAATAATACATACAAGATATCTCTCTGTGCAAGTTCTTCCCTATAAGCTACTTTTGCCTCTAATAATACACAGTAAAGCATCTTCTAGATGTCAGCCTTTCCTTAACATATGAACAACACACTAGAATAAATTATAATAATCTAAGCTGTACTCATTCAGACCACTTTCTTTAATAATAATATAAATAAGATGGCTGCTGGTAGCCCCCAAAATAAGCAACTATTGTTATAGTATGAACTACTCAATCAACCTAACTACAGTTTAAGTAAGTATCATAGAATCATAGAATCATTTAGGTTGGAAAATGACCTTCAAGATCATTGAGTCCAACCATCAACCATGCCCACTAAACTATGTCCTGAAGTATCCTGTCCACTCGCTTTTTGAATACCTCCAGAGATGGTGACTCAACCACTTCCCTGGGCAGCCCATTCCATTCATCCCACTAAAGGAATTATTTGACCATTAGGAAGTGAGAAAAGAAATGAAAGCAGGTAGAAACGTATTTATGAGATACAACTAAATCAGAAATACTTTACTTGTAATATTCATTAAGTGCTCATGTAAGATTAAGCTCAAGTTTTAGCCTTGTGATTTTATGCTTGGTGCAAGTCACCAGTGACTAGAGTACGTTTAAAATCTTAACTAAAAATCAGTTTTTAAACAGTGAGTGGATCCCTAAAAGAACTTCAGGTAATAGAGCTCTCCTTGTTGGCAATCTCAATAGAAAGCAAAAGCTTTAATTAGGACACTATTAGTCTTCCGAAATAACTTTAAGTCGAGACCTACTTTATTTGGAGAAAGCTGACCACTGCAAATCATAAACAGAAAACCAGCTTTTGCTGCTGCTAAGTGCCACAATGAGCAAATATCAGGTTTGCTTTAAAGACACACACAGAAACCACACTTGTTTAGTCAAAAATTATTGCAATCTCACTAGTTCCAGAAGATTAATTAAGGCAGAGATTTGATAACATTTAGTTCATACCAAAAAGTACGATTTTTTTTTTTCTCTCCCACATGGCAGCCAATTCCTAGAAGTATCAAACACTCTCAAACTTACATTTAATCACAAAACTAGTTCGTTGAAGAACTTGAGTTCAAGTAAGACCACACTTCCAAAACCAAGTCCTACTGTTAATGGTGAGGTAGGACAGAAGTAATTTGAAAATTTTTAATGTTCTAATTTGAATACAAGTTTTCTGTGAAGACAATAGTTGTCATATTACATTCCTTGTAATACCTGGATGTTCACATTTCCCTGGGGAGACAGGCTGCTTTAAACAAATACTGTCACACACACACAAAATCAAGCCACTCACCCAGAAGCATCTAATTAATGAACCTGGATATAGCAAAGTATCTACAGCTGCCCCGTCAGTATCAATGCAGCTTTTGATATTCTAATGATCTAGTAACCCCAGATGACTTCTTAAAAAAATGTCAAATCATTACTGACAAACTACTTGGTACACCAGATACAGAAGGAAACAGATATATCTGCTTTATTAAAAAAATGAATTGGTGTTTTTAAAGGGTTATTTTACCTGAAGTAGATATATGAATAACAGAACATAAATGAAGAGAATTCAGTTACTCATACCTTTGCTAATTTTCTGTGCAGCAACCACAGGCTTGAAGAGTTCATTTAGTTCTTGTAATTCTTTTTTCTTATCTTCTTTTTTTAATTTCTTCTCACTTTCTGTTTGAGCAGCCTATAATGACCCCAAATTTGAAGTCATTAATATAAAATTATAATGACATTACTCACTTCACATCAACTGTACACTAAAATAGCAAATCATTCTAAATTAGTTTATAAGGGGAGGACGGAAATAACCAATAATAATTTCTGAATTTCTCAGAATTCCTGCCCATGAGTGCATAGCCAGTGCCATCTAGTGGTACTGACTGACCCTTCAAACAGAAGGAATTTCAAATGCAATTTGTCAGCTATGCAAGATGCTGGTAGGTACCATTAGATGACAGTTTCCTCTAATTCCACCTTTACAGGCTAGGAAATCAAATGAAGAATATTGAGACTAGGAGGAGGAAAGTTAGTTGCTCTTTTGTCTTACATTAGCAGTGCAAATATTCAATGCAGTTACTCCAAGATCTGCACAAAAGCCTCTCTGACTCTAGTCCCCTACATGCTACGCTGCGTTGCTCCTCCTCTTCACGCATGCTGGTAGCAATTCAGGAAATCTGTCTGTAGAAGTTGGGAACTGCTTTTAGAATACTATTTGTCTGAATTTATAACAATTCAATATATCAGTGTTTCATTGATAACCAGTGGTTTGTAAGACAAGAACATTAATTTTATAGGTACTAGAGGCCAAGGACTGAAAACCAAGCTCACCTAAGAAACAAAAAGTTTTTGTGTTAAAAAAAAAAAAAAAAAAGCCACACCTGACTCTGCCTTACCCTTTTTGGATAAGCCAGAAAAGACTTGTATCTTTACCAGAGTAGCAGAGAGGGATGAAGACAGATGAAAGAGGACATAGGAAAAATTATTAGATTATTTGACTCTTATCCTTAAAGAAAGCTAGTGAGACTAACACCACTATACAAATAGGTGGGGTACTTTACTGGTAAAATGCAGTGCAATATTAAAAAAGGAGCTTTGTTCTTATGGTGAATTTGGCAAAAATACACCAAATTGTTTTAAAAGGGAATTGATTAGTTTGGTCAGTTTTCATACTGAAAGTTCACAAATCCTATTTTATATAACATGCAGACCCACGTGTCAACTACAAAAAGTAGTACTAGGGTTCTAAAAGCATGAAGATGAAGCTTGCTTTTCAAAAACAAAAAAACAAAAAACCCACACCAAACTTCAAGAACTACCCCCCTCACCCCCACCCCAAAACCAACAACAAAACCAAAACAAACAACAAAACCTTGATAGCATTTCCTTTTGTATCTCAGGACACAAGAAAAATTGCTTTTAAGTGTTCTTTCTTCCTCAGAGACAACCCTAACTGAAAACTATTTTACACGGTAATGAAGGTATAATCAGGTCTGAAAATTAGCTTCTGACATCCAACAGTCAACAGCTACAAGCATTTGAGAAAAATTATTTTAGGTGGGCTAATTTGCATACTGGTATTCCTATACATGTACAGATTCAGGGATTTCATATAGAAATTTCAGAAGGACTGTAACACCAATGTTTTTGAAGTGACATCAAGTAGCCCTTTCCACTACAAGAAATTATTAGATTAGATCTAATAAGCCAAATAGCAACTTTAAAAGTAAAGTTGTACTTCACTATTGTTAGTTCATCCTTATGTAATGTAAGGAATTTAACATAAATTATGACATCATGAATTTAGCTGACACAAATGTCATTATTTTACAGGCTTATTCACAGAACAGGAAACTGTGAAAACACTTAACTAGCTTCCCTAGCACTGTAGGAATAAGAACCCTGGCTCACTTCATGAAAATATTATTATAATGGATATCAGTGCTTTGTGATTAAGTATAATCTAAACATTGTATCTCAGCCACATCACATTTTACTTCATCATGCAAAAGAAGAGCATAGTAGACAACACTGGCTCAAAATTTCAGTTTCTTTGACCAGTTCAACAAATAGCTGCAGACTTATTATAATTTAAAGTTGAAAAAAGTCTGACAAGTACTCCCATAAGTAGAACAACAAGCACATATGGGCTTAAACTTTTCTAATCTTCCCCCAACTTCAGTTTTTAGATTAGTAAAAACTATTCTTATTTTTAACTGTTCTCTATTTCTTAGATTAGGTGGGAATTAAAGAGAAAAAAGGAGAAGGAATGTACAACTATACTTTGCTGATAGCCAGTTTCTACAGTTTAATTTCAGGTATACCTTAAACTTAGTTGCGTTACTATTAGAATACTATGTAAACAAAAAAAGCAGGCTTATTAGTTGAGTTTGATTTGGGTGGGGGTAAGGGGGTGGGGTTGTTGGGGGTTTGGGGGTTTTTTTGTTTGTTTGTTTTTAAAAAAAGACAACCAAACAACAAAACCCCATACTCTGTACTACCTTTACATAATTCTCAGCTAGACAATAGATTACAATAGATTTAACTATCTGTGCTAGTCACAATACATTAGGCAAATAACACCTCAACTTTTTTCTACTTCAGTATCATGTGACATATATCTATACATATAGTGAAAGATGATTTGACTATAGAGTGGAGAAACATTACAGAATAAATGCTTACCTGACGTGGATTTTGCTGACCAAATTTTACCTGGTGAGTCACAGCCTTGATAAATTTCTGTTGTTTTGCACCTTTTTTATTCTTCAGGCCAAATGTTTTGTCCTGAATCAAGAGATAAATACAGCACATTAATTGAAAAAAGTTTAAGTTGTTACCAAAAAAACCCCTGAAAAGCAAACCACCTGCCACTCCTCTCAGGTTTTCAGTTAAACACAGGCTATTTCCTCTAGCAACACAAACAATCCAAGAAACAGTTATCAATAATATTTAGACCCCTCACATGGTCTTTAAAACTTGGTTTTCAAAAGAACCTACTGAATGCTGCTTTTATCACCAGACCTATTTGTGTCCAAGTATTAGTGTGAGCACATACACAAAGCATTTTGAGGCCTCCCATGGCAAAAGGACAAGATATTTTTGGTGACTATCCAAGTAACATCTGAAGAAAATATGAAGCATGAATAGCCATAAATACTGCTTTTTTTTTCCCCATCTACCTGAAATCACTTATTACTTTTATCTTCAAGCACTCATATACAAGTGTTATATATTTGTTATGCAGATGAATACTGCCATATGTAACATATTACTTTTTATTTTCAAGTATTTTAAGCCTTTCATTTTCTAACCGTATTACTTTGAAGAGAACTCTTTCCCCTATCAAGTCCAGAGAGGTGTTTGTACTTCCTCAACTCCACTGCAAGAAGTTTCTGTTTACAGCCTGAACTAATTCTTCCTCCACATCTCCAATTTTATTGTTAGAGACAGGTTTCTATACCACACCTATTAAAAATTTCATTTAAAAAAAGCTTACTTTCACATGAGTATCAGAAGCAGAAATTATTTTTTTAACTGAAATACCTACATTAAAAACCTATCCATGCCTTGGATTTGATACCAACATTTTTTTCCTTCCAGTAACAAGTAACAGATGTTCACCCAGTGATAATACCTCAGTTCAAACATACTTTTAGAAACCCTAACAATACAAAAATATATTATAGAAGAATTGTAAAATAAAAGAGCTCCAAATTTCCCGAGTCACCCTATTTTCATTTACAATGTATCCCATACCAACAGCAACTTGTCCTCTGTTACATCCATAATTTCTCAAAATAACTAGTTGGGAAAAAAAAAAATCATTCACACACTTGATTTTTGTGGCAAATGCCACAAGGAACACATAACCTCTGTGTATTTGAATTATGTAATAAATTATTGTTAATAGTCAATGCAAGTTTTTCCCCTTTCAGCTACATTTTTTTGTAATGAAAAGGAGAATTTTCCTATACAGCTGGATTCAGCAAGAACATCAGAAACACTGAGGCCAACAGAGAGTGAGAACAACCACTCTCACCTAACATTTCCAAAGAACATAGAAACAATATTCTGGAGTCCTAGATTTAAAAGAACACCTGCATTACACAGATACTCTGCCTAAACAGCTGAGCAGCTACTATCTTTCATGCTGAACAGATGGAGGCAAACACTTAATTTTGTATAACTATCTTAATAACTAAAACACACCCCTAGCAGTGTTTTTAAGTCTGGTTTTATCATGGAATTGAGCCTCAGAAGTTTAAATAGAATGAGATACAACTGATTAATCTTCAAATTATTTTGCATTCAACTTCAACCAAAGATTTACTAAACTGTTGTTCTAGGAAATGCCTCCTTGGCCACACAGGTCAATTTGTATTAACCACCCTCCCCCCCACCCCCAAACAAACCACACACGTGTTTTAAACAGAGCGAGAAACGCAAACCTACACCCCAAAGAGCTGGACTCAGAAAATACAGGTACATGTAGAACACAGAAATGGAAAAAGAAAAGGGTGAGAAAGAAAAAAACGAAGAGCACTCTTGACACATCACCTCCAGTTCAAAGACAGCTCTGGCCTAAAACCATCCAGGCTGAAGCCCCAAATCCCGGCCCAAAAAGCGCAGCGGCCACCAGCACAACGTGAAGGGCGACGGTCAAGTGATTTGACAGATCTGGGCAGCGCCGGGGCCACGAGGGGAACGAACCAACGTCCCCCGGAACGGCGCTCCGGGCTGGGCCGCCGCACCCACCAGGCGTGCGTGCTCACACCCCTCGGCGCACACAAAAGTTTTCGGCTTTACGACCGTTTCGGCGGCCGCTTCAGCCCGAGAGACGGCCCGCCGGCCGTGACGGCGGGCCTTCCGTGCACCCGCGGCCGTGGGAGGCGGCAAAAGGAGCTGCCCGCCTGCGAAGGGAAACGGCAGGCCCCAGCAGGGGCAGGGGGAAGGCCGCGGCGGGA